CTTGAAACAGATTCAGTTTTTAGTTAGAAAATGCACACAAAAATACTTCATAAATAAAGTTTCTGTATGAACTACAAAGTGACAGCTGAGAAGCAGATGAACCATCCCCTTGTTTCAGTGTACAGAATAAACATAATCATCATCCACAAAATTTTCTTTAACTCATGGCACACATTCATATTCCACAATCCAGAATATTTTTTCACTTGGGGAGGGGAGCAATACTGTAATCCTGGCACAAAAACATTTCTATTTAATCAATCAAAGTAGCATGTACAAAGGTTACAGGACTAGGAAAATCTCTCTCTCCCCCTAATAAAACTACATCAAAAACTATAACAACATTATAGATGTGCAAATGACTAAAAGCCTTTGATTAGATATATAGGCCTATACCAGGAGTAAGCAAAGTTTTTTGGCTGGAGTGCTGGAAAAAACACAATGTCTACCTTGGAAGGTGCTGGAGTGCTGACATGCCGGAGCCTGGAGCAGCTGTTTGCAGCCTCCCGGCTGCAGCCAACCCACAGAGCCGAGTCTGCTTGCAGCAGTGCTTACAGCCTCCCAGCCGCCTGTTGGAAGCAGCCTAGGCTCCGTGGCTGGCAGCAGCTGCTTAGAGCCCAGGCTGGCAGTGGTGTGCCGAGCAAAATGGCCTTGTGTGCCATGCTCTGCACACATGCCGGGGGTTGCTGACCCCTGGCCTATACTGCAGCAAAAGTAATGGTTCTTTTTGTCTGTAGAAAAAAAGCATAGGGATCAATCTATTTGTCATCACCCAAACCACTTATCTTAGTTAGGTGATGAGTACAGCATTGAGTATACAAGGAAGAATAATTAACACTGTTTGTCCAAACTGCAGAACAGCAGTTACTAGAGGTTAATAGCTATAGCAACTTCTTCATCCCTGATATTCACCTTCTGCAGATAAAGATGAAATGGTGAAACTCATTATGGGCAGATTCCTCATCCCATCCCCAAGTCTTCCCCACCCCTGCAGGCTGCCATATCAGGCTCACTAGCAGTCATATTTGCTCCAGTTCATAGCTGCTTTGAATTCAGCTTCAAGAGCATAGCACTACCAACTTGGATCTTCAACAATGTTTTCTGGGGTACCACTGGCCATAGTTTCATAGATTTAGGGTCGGAAGGGACCTAGTAGATCTTCTAGCCCGACCCCCCGCCAGGGCGGGAGAACAACAAAACCCCAAAACAAAAACGGGACTCAAATGAGTCCAGCCAGGTAGGCATCCAGCCTCTTCTTAAAGACCCCCAGGGTAGGGGCCAGCACCACTTCCCTTGGAAGTTGGTTCCAGCTCCTAGCCGCCCTAACTGTGAAGTAGTTTTTGCGGATGTCCAATCTATACCTCCTCTCCATCAACTTGTGCCCATTACTCCTTGTTATGCCAGCGGGCGCTAGGGGAAACAGCGTCTCCCCCAAACCCTTCTGGTCCCCCCTAGTGAGTTTATAGACGGTCACCAGGTCCCCCCTCAGCCTTCTCTTGTGGAGGCTGAATAGGTTCAGGTCCCGCAGTCTCTCACTGTAGGGTCTGCCCTGTTGTCCCCGGATCATGCGGGTGGCCCTCCTCTGGACCCTCTCCATGTTGTCCACATCCCTCTTGAAATGGGGCGCACAGAACTGGACACAATACTCCAGCTGTGGCCTGACCAGCGTCGCGTAGAGGGGGAGGATCACCTCCTTGGCTCTACTCGAGATGCACCTGTGGATGCACGACAAGGTCCGGTTAGCCCTGCCAACCATGACCTCGCATTGTCGGCCCATGTTCATCTTGGAGTCAATAATGACTCCAAGATCTCTTTCTGCCTCCGTGCTCTCAAGTAGGGAGTTCCCCATTGTGTAAGTGTGCTGCTGGTTCCTACTGCCCAAGTGCAGCACCCTGCACTTGTCCGTATTGATGCCCAAGTGCAGCACCCTGCACTTGTCTGTATTGAACAAACAATGGAGACCTCTGTGTAATGAATCTGATGCATAATATAAAAACTCTCACTAAGCAATCAATAGGGAAACATTTAAGATACTAGTTGGCTATTTTCTCCAGTATAGAAACCGCTTAAAGGAGAAGGTTTCTAAACTAGCCTTGGCATATAAATGGATCTGACCTAATAAAATGTATGACTACAGTAAACCACAGTAAATATTTGGTGGTGTTTTAGGTGGATAACAACTGCAAAGATATCAATATTTCATCATAAATATCAAGATGTCTGTACTATATTCTGTTGCACAATGCTGAAATACCAATTGATATATTAAAATATCAGAAATTGGCTAGTGTGGGCAACAGTTGGCTATGTAGTGCAGGCAGACAGAAGAAAGTAAATAGAAAGAAACAGGCAGGCAACAGATACATAAAAGTACTAAATTAAATTATTGCCTAACTGTACATACGAGAGCAGGTGTACAGCATCCGCATGCTGTTTGATGTAGTACTGTCGATATCGCGAGAAGTCATGGAGCATCTGCATAGGGTCAGGGGAAATGTTAATACGATCCCGGTCTGTCCAGGTTTCCACCGCAACCAAAACCACTCTGGTGTTCAGCTGTTCCTTGTATATCTGAGGGCAGAGACAGGACAGGCACAGGAGTAGAACACTGGGTCAAACATGCACAGTTAGCCAATAAGAGTCAGCGGAAGGACAAGAGGGATAAAGCAGGAGGGAAACATGGGGAAACAGTTAGCTGGTGTACCTCTGATTTCCTAAAATGTCAATATTGTGATAGTCTTGTTTCACTAAACTTAATAATGTAGAGGGCAAAATCATTTGGTCGTTCTGATTTTGATCTCATTTCTCCCCTCTGCTGAACCTCATGTTTGACAATTTTAGCATCACACAGGAATATCTACCTTACCCCTTAGCAATTTTCTAGCAATGCACAAAGTACTCAACTGACAAGAAAAGGGTCACACGGATCCTCAATTAATCCTAGTTATTTGCTCCAATTTTCAAATACAGTGTGATTCTCATTTACATTAAAGCCATTTTATATTTCTCAGGCACAGTAACAGAGAATGAAAGTGACAGAAAATAGTATTTGCATCTACTTGGGTGACATTTTACCCTCCCAGAGTAGTGTAAATGGATGTAAATGTAAATGAGAACTGGGCCCTAAAATTTTATTAAACACAACTTTAAAATATCAGCATTCTCTTCACAAACATGTGCTTGTGTGATATAATAAACCTTCTCTTTAAGAGGTTCAGGATATAAAGTCCTACTTTTCCTACAGTATATTGAAGACCTGCACATTTTAAAAAGTGCTCATATTCCTCATCCATATTTGTTTGTCTGCTATTTAAAAGCATAGTATTGGTGACACATGAAGAGGATTCACCAGCTAGAAATGATCACATGTAAAAAAAATACATTTTAAAACAATTTTGCATCAAACTGTATCTGAAATGCACAACTTACTGTGAAAATAACCCACCTACAACATTAAAAAAAGGGGGGCATATATTGAACCAGCAATGACCATTACACTAATCCTTTTGTTACAATATCAGCTATCTTAAAAGCGGTAATGGAGCAACACACTTCGGACAGAAGATAATAAGCATAGGAGCAGGAGAGATCACCCAGACAAGCTTAATTTTGTCAAAGAAGGATGTTCACATCAAAGAAGTGTTACGATACTATGTTCTTTCTAGAGGAGCGAAGGTGAGAATGTTTGAAATCTGAGGTACATGAAAAAAATGACTTGTGGATAGAGGTGTACCCATATATTCGTGCCATATTAGATTGGCACCAATAAAAGGAAAATTAACATTATCGGCTATCAGCTTTTTTTGGCTGGTGTAGTTGATAATGTCTGATAAATATAATATGCCTTCTGGCCAGGCGGGGTCCCCAGATGCCATGTGCATGTGCACAGCTGCATGCATGCATGTGGCCAGGAATGCAGCCAGGCAGTGTGGAGAATAGTGCCCTGCAAGTAAATCTATGGAGGGGAAGGAGTGTGGGGGAGGAGAGGGGCATGGGGGTGCAGATCAAGGCCCCCACAGTGAGGGAGGGAGTAGGGCAGAGGGGGTCTGTCCAGACAGGGTGGTGAATGGGACCCGGGGCCGGGGCAGGGAGCAGGATGGAGTCATGGGCAGCTCACCCAAGGAAGGCAGATGGGGCATGTGCCCCCTGAGATTTGTGCATGGGCCAGATGCAGGTTGCCCACTGTAGGATGAGGGCTTTCCACTCTGCTGCCTTTGCCCTGAGGGCTCTGCATTGGCCGCACACCCCCTGTCCACCCAGCAGCTGTGGGGGTGGCCAGTTGTGCCTCCTTCTGCTGGGCAGGCAGGGGACACGTGGCTGATGTGAGGCCCCCAGGGCAAAGGCAGCAGAGTGGAGAGTCCCAAGCCCATAGCAAACAGCCTATATCCGCCCTCACCCTGCTTGGCTCCACTCCAGTTAAAAGTTTCACTGTGCTTAAAAATGGTGGTGACAGTGCTTGAACTAAGGCTCATTTGACAAGCTTTAGTTCAAGTGCCCCCACCGCCATTTTTAAGTGCTGGGATGCTGATCCCCTGGATGAGCTGCTTGCAGCTCACGTCCCTGCCCTGGGTCCCATTCACTGACCTGGCTGGGCAGCACTCCCAGCCCCAACTGCATCCCCAGCTCCTTCCCCACTTCCTCACCATGGGAGAATCTGTCCCCCCACACCCCTTTCCCTCCACAGACTTACCTGCAGGGCACTGCTCTCCATGCTGCCTGGCTGCATTCATGTAAATCACTTACTGGATTGATATCGGCTGATATGGCTGTTTAATAATCAGCTATCAGTGTTGGCCAAAAAAATCTTTATCGGTGCATCCCTACTTGTGTATTGAAACTTATATTAAACTATAACTCTGACAAGGCTAGATAAAGAAAATCTTTACTGATATCTACTGGAGGCAAATTATGTTATTTTCTGAAGTAGGTAGCTATTGTAAATGGATGAAAGAGTAGCTGTAAGAACTGGAGAGTCTCTGTGTGCCAACAGCACTCTTCCCATAACACTTCAGCAAGAAGCACAGCTGTACCTCATAAACTCATCAAGGGAATGCAGAGAGAAAATATTCTGCTCCCCTTCACATTCCCTTTAAAACTCATAGAGAACAGGCCATAGTCCAGGGCTGGGCAAAATACAGCCCGTGGGCTGGATTCAGCCTGTGGAGGGACTTTGTTCAGCCCCCAGCAGGTCCTGCATGGCCCAGCTGCCATCCAGCCTGTGGTGTGTCCTGCCACCCCAGGCACACAGCAGGGCTGGAGTGGTTCCAAGCATGGCCCCCTGCAAGTAAATGTGAACCCACACCTGCTCCAGACCCACCTCAACTGGAGTGGACCAGCTTCAGCCCCACCAGGTCCCACACACAGAGCCCTGATCCTGGCTCGTCCCGTGCCTGCTCCAGACCTTCCCACCCACAATGAGCAGTGGTGGCAGTGGTGGTAGCTGCAGCCGCAGCTGGGCAGAAGCTGCTGCTGGGCATGGGGGAAAAGCAGCCACCTCCCCCTCACCACTGCCAGGCCCTTCTTGCTGCAGCCACCATGCCCAGGCTGCCCTGCAGCTCTTCTCTGCTGTAGTCACCACTGCCACCTCTGGGCCACCCAGCAGGGCCGCTGTGGCAGTGGAGAGGAGCCACAGGGCAGCCCAGGCACAGGCTGCTGCAGCAAGAAGGACCTGGCAGCGGCAAGAGGGAGGCAGCCACTTTTCTCATATGGCCAGCAGCAACTTCTGCCCAGCCACGTCCACTGCTCATCGTGGTTGGGCCAGTGTGGAGCAGGCATGGGGCAGGCCAGGGCCAGAGCTGTGCACGTGGGTCCCAGCTAGTCCACAGCTGGTCCGCCCCAGCCAGGGCTAGTCCAGAGTGGGTTCAGGGTGGGTTGGGGCCCAGGCTGGGGCTGTGCGTTGAACTGTTGCTGGGCACTGGTGGTGGTGAGGAGCCACATGGCGCACAGGCTCCCAGAAGTTAAGGGATGGCACTGACCAGCCCACAACAACTCTCCAAAACTGCCTATGTGGCCCAAATAATTGCCCGCCCCTGCCATATTCTCTCCATGAGGACAGACGACTGCGAACAGACTGAACTTTTATACACATACGCTGCATGACCCAGCATTTGTACATGTAAAGTCTTTAAAACCCAATTTGTAAATTATCTTCCACTGATCAGTGCTAATTTGTAAGAATGGGAATATATGCCTAGGACCATGGTCAGCCAGAATGAGGACGATAGCATTACTTTCTACAGAACTTGTTCAAAATATTTTTTAACATACACTTACTACCTTACTACCTTTCCAGACAGAAAATTCATTACCCTGAAATGAACTACAAGCAAAATAGGGGGAAAAACAGAGGGAATAATAACAAAGAAAGAAAAGAAAGATCAAATGAGTTGCATTAAGCTCAGAGAAATACCAAGAAAAAATTAGCAGAAGTAGAGATTAAAAAAATTAACCTAATAAAAACTTATCTACTGTATATTATAATTTTTCAGTCCAAACAAATATAAGAGTCGCACTGTGCTTACTAAATTAGAGCCCATGTTTGGATCTTGGGTGTTTTACAGGGGCCAAAAGTATTGTAGCTAAACCCAAAAATTCCTCTGAAAGTGATGGACAACGTATGTAGTGCAGGGCCAGCACCATCATTTAACATGGTACAATATGAGCTTTCCTTATGCCATCCTCATTCTCCTACAAGTGAGTGGAAGGATCATATCCCTAATTATCCCTGCCTGGGAAGGTTACCACTGCCCCTAGGCTCCCCTACCCTTTCACATCAGAGAGCAGAGGGCCAGAACAAGGTATTCTGCCCCAGTTAATTCCAGCAGTGTAGCTGAGTAGATAAGAATGGTTACACAAGTGTGTTTACATACCCACTGTATACTTTGGAAAGGGTCTTTGTGCTGCCCTGTGCAAGTGGATCCCAGAATACCTTGAAAGTGTGTTGTCACTCAAAAAATGTCCGAGTCTACCAATACACTGCATAGGTAACTTCCATAAAGATGCAGAGTATGCCATAACATGGATCTAAGAATTCCTTCCAAATTTCTACTGGTTAAACTTCATGTTAGAATATTTACGTATTTGCATTTTTCTCTTGTTTTTTAATGTCGTGTCTACTAGTGTATATTTGTGTATTTGTGGCTCTGAGTCTTCCCAGTTTGACTATATATAACAAAATAGTGCAGAAATACTCAATATTTTCAATGAGTTCTCCTATAGAGTTTTTTTCTCAAATTATGGGCTGCTTTACATTAACTAAATTTATGAGATACTTTATTTGTTTTATGTACTATATTTGTGTTCACTGAAACTGTGAATGACACAATGCATGACACTAAGTACTATAATAAACAAAGAAAAAGACTAAATATTATTTTCTCTATGCTTTGGGATTTATTCTGCATTGAGCTGCACAACAAAATGTCACTGACTTCACTGCAGTTGCAATGAAAGCAGAGCTTGACACAATCTTACTGTTGCATTCATGACTATTTACCAACCTCACAACAGTAAGTTAACTGGTAAGGAAAAAAAACAGGAGAAAATATAAAATGCACAAAATCATCCCAATTATGTGAGTAACACAAAAACGTGTTTTCATGAAATGTCTTTACTGTAAATAAATCATAACTGAATGAAAATGTATGCATGCTGCAGTTCTCACAAATTTCTGTCTTAGCCCAAAGGAAAAGATGTGATGCAAAAAATAAAAGCCTAACAAGCATTTTACTCCTGCTTTGATCAAGACTTGAAGTGGTCTTGAATAATTTGTATTACTGCTAATAATCCTTATGCTAAATACTTTTTATTTTTCTAGGCAAGTCTAGAATTACTTGAGAATAGAAGGTCATAAAAGCAGTAGAATGTTCTTGCTGCTAATAAAAAGAAAATTCTAAACAATTATTTGAACACCTGGAGAGAGAAACTATTTTATTTAGACCCTTATCAGGAAGGGATGACCTCATAAATACTGAAAAAACTTTATTTCTCCCCTCCCCCTCAACCCTTGTAATGGAAGTTCTCTTTATAAGTCAATTCTGGTTTTTTTAGCTCATTCTCAGGATAGTCTGTTGTTAGTAATTTTAACAAATATAAAACTGACCTTTATGTCTGTAATTCACATGTATGGTCTTGGTATTACATGAAATGTACTAACATGGAAAACATTGCAACAGGCAAGTAACCCATAGGGATTACATAATTCTTTATCATTTAAGAATCTGACAGAAAAAAGATGGGTACATTTCTACTAACTTTTAATAAGTTGTATTAAATGAGTTATATAATCTATTAAATAACATATGACTCTTAAACTAATCATGCTGCAGTCACAAGAGACACCTAAATGAGTAAAATGTGACTCAATGTCTAAATATAGACCTTAAAGAGAAAAACCTGAAACCATTTAGACACACAAGAATATTTTCCTTTAAGAAGCTATCATATCACATAGAAGGATACAGCACAAATGGTATCCTAGACCATAAGCATGTATGATAATTGCATAAATATCAGAGAGGTAAAGTCAACAAGTTTAGCTCAAACCTCTTTTTCTGTTTCTAAAACATGTTTGCTGCAAAACCAATTCATTACTCATTACATGCATGAGTATCATATGTAGTGGGAATTCTGTTAAGCATTTTTCACGGCTCGCATTTAGAAAAATGTTGAATCACATTAATACACGTTTTTAAACAAAAAATGTTTATTCACTTTTTTCTGTTACAGTCCTGAATATTTGTATCTTCCATGCGCTGTGCTTATCACATTGCCCACTTGTGGCAGCTAATATCAACGCAGGTTTTTTTTATTGATCAAAGCTTGATTAAATTTAAGTATTAAGCAGTGACTCATGTGGAAAGCTCCTTCACAGTTCTGAGTTCCCCCAGAGAGTGAATTTGTGGCAGCTGCAAACTTTGAGACAACGCCAAGAACAAATTTGCGGTTTCTTAGATTGGAATACTTTTTCAATAGCAGTCCAAGCAATCTTTCTGAAGAGAAATTGTAAAATTATTTTTCAATCATTTAACAGCTGCTTGTTGTATATATTTTCACTCTAATGGCGGCCACCGTCAATGTTCAATATAATGTTCTAAAACAATCAATTCAAATGATATATTGTCAAAAACCACAATGATACTTACGGCATCTACAAGGTTAACCACAGACTTTGCAAAGTTGTTTGTGTACGCATGGGAAGAACGATGTTTTTTGAACTAAAAGAAAATATTAAAAAGATATTAGTCACTATTTGAACAATTACTAGCAATTTATTATTTGTTTCAGCAAGACTGGAGAATGAATAACCTTATCGCGTGCTCAGAGAGAAATGAAAACAACAGCTTTTACAAATCACAGCAGGCCTCTTCATTTCTATGCATTTATGGAATTTTATGAAAGCCTGTGCTTGCTCAGTAATATTTCACATATACAAAGGACACATTTTAGTAAAAGATTTATTTAACTACAAAAGTTGTAGTATCTAGAAAAAAATTCTCAACCCATGAGTGGGTCGCAAGAATATATGAAAAGGTCATGAACAAACTTTAAAAATGGATCAACAAACTTTAAAAATGGATTCTCCCTTAAAGGAGAAAAACATGGGAAACCATGGGTTTTCCCTTGCAGACAGGCAGAGTTCCAGCCTGCAAGGGGCTGCTTGGGGCCCCCCCGCCCCACACACCCACCTCTTGCCCTACACACTTGGGACCTGGGAACTGGGGCAGTGGGTTGGGAGTGGGGGGCACTGG